TGTCCGGCTGGAAGAGCCTAGCATGGGGGCCGGATTGGGAGGAATGCCTGGGCCCGACCAGTCTGACGGACGGACGGACGGACGGACGCAGATGGGACGCGCCTGGCAGAACTCCATTGTCACCAGCTTCTGTCTACAAACACATGCAGTAGTGCCGGGTAGGAGGTGGACGACATTTTGACCAGAAGGGAACGATGGAGTAGGCACTGAAGCAAGTCATCAAAAATGAGAGGTCTCCCGACCGGTTATCTTTTACCTCATCGAACAACTTGACCCAAAGGCTGTTTGAGCCTTTCCTGTGCCCAAGGGTTGCACCAGATAAAACGGATCCCAAATGAAATTAAACACAAAAAGCAAATGCCACAATTTCGGCTGGGTTGAAACGCTTTGTTGATACCAAGAGATCCCTCTTCTAAATTCAAATTTGAACAAGACACACGGATAGTTTCTGTATCCAACCCTTAAGTACAAAATGTCAGGATAGAATACATAGCCCCAGCAATTGCAGACGTAATCCTCTTGTATTGCCCTCGAACCCATGCTTGCAGCCAGCCATTAACCCATTACAAATGTCATATCTGTACATAATCGCCACTCCCACATCGTATTTGTAGCAAGGACTCGAATCGGCAGATGTGTTAGTGTTAGGGCAAGTGAAGTGATATAGGCAATTACTTACATTTCGTTTATAAGTAGATCCTTGAGACTACCAGTGGGTCATTTATTTATGAAGTTTGTTTACCCCATTTTGTTTAAGGTGATAAGGGGACTGGTAGTTATATTTTTCCACAATTGTATGAACAGACCTTACATTTTCATTTAATTTCACATAGCCTTGCTTCTCCAAAAGGCATTCTTATCCAGAGTGGATTGCAATTTTGACTTCACCTGGGTCTTATCAATACCCTCAAGTGGACTCGAACTAGTGGATAATTTGTTAAGATTATACGCCGTAATGTCAAGGTTTGACTCCCGATGGGGGTGTTTATTAGGCCTAGGCGAGGACGGAATTTCAGTTTATAAAACATGAGAATACATTTGGGCAAATCAAAGCTAGACGATTTTCAATGAAAATGTAAGGTCGACTAATGTAAATGTGAGAAAAATGCAACTATGAACCGGATAATCACCTTAAACGAAATATGGTGAACACACAGGCATTTACTTATCTGTGAATTTCATATTAACCTACCAGTGAGTAGATATGAAGACCAAGATTTAATGAAAATATGCTTGATTACAGACATCCTTCAATGTACTATGTTAGTTTGATCTGGCTTTTACACATTACTTTTATCTACAGGGAGGCTCCCGAAAATCTACCAAATAGTGTGAGCATTCTTGAATTTTTGGGGTATATTCTGAAGGAACCGGATCATCAACTGAATAAATTCTCACATATTTCTTAGGAATCGTTGTTTTGATGACAAGTAACTAATCCCTTGGATAAATTGCTGCTCAATAAAAAGGATAGAGCTTCTCACTAAGACGATGGCGAAGCGTAGAGTGCGTAAGTATCCGGCCTACTGTTCAATGCCAGAAGAAGTTATAACAATAGCGACGGATTCAGAATGTGTCAAATAATACGAATTTGCGATAATAAGGTCACACTACCTTGATTAGTGAGGAGATGTATAAACTTTTTTGCACCCTGCAAGTGTGTTCAAACAAGTTTATAGCCTTAAGGTGCTTTGCTATCAACTTCGGATCAAAATACATGCCTCTAAGGCGTTTCAAAGACCAAATCCACGCCTATTTCTTTACCTCATTCCTATGCAATCGGTTGCAAAAAAGCTATAAATTTTGAGCTTACTCCCAGTTTGAGAGAAAGAGACTCTTAGGTCAATTCCACTAGAAGATGACTGCAGATCATCACTTAAATATCAAAACGATTCCTTGAAAATCTAATTGTATTTAAATATAATAAGCACTTTTAGAAAAATTTAAATCAGCTTTATTCTAGCTTCCAGAAAACCAAGCATACTATTTACAGGCAAGTTAATAGCATCTGATTTTCAGGAGTCTGTATTTTACATAATTTAGTGCCTATGTTATACTTTTTGTAGGCATCCAGATTTATCTATTTCCATTACGGATAAACTGAACCTGTTATCGAATGGCCTAATCAAGACTTAACCGAAAATAGAGTTTATGCAAATTACCTGATCCGATAATAACCAAAAACGAGATTAGACAACCCCTGTCTCCGATGTCATAGCTGGTAGACTTTTTAAATTGCAGGATCTTCTGCAGAAAGAATGGCCTTAATTCATAGATCCATTCATGTCAAGAAAGCATAGAATTCAAAATTTGTATCAACGCAAAAAGAAGAAGATTTATAATCTTAATACTGTTTGTTCTACCAATAATTACTAGAGTATCCAGTATATCTATACGCGAGAATCTTTCGGTTCTCTTGGGCGGGAGTCCAGATTTACAATCACAGAGGAGGATAATATTACACTGATTGAATTAATGAATTTAATATATAGGCTGCCGGAGGAAGCTAAGAATAGTATAGAAGGGTTTTATCCACACTTGATCAGGTAATCATTGCAAGGAAGTTTGATAAGTTTAGTGCAATTCATAGACATTTATACCAAAAGAATTTATTTATTTGAAGACAGGTAAACTTGTTGCTTGGGTGGTAGATATGATAAGTATCATAGAAAAAAGTATGATCCATTTAAACTATGAGCGGAGTCTCCCAGTAAGGATCTTATACCAGAACTAAGGAAATGGCTAAAATGAATGCAAACGAATGAGAAATGTAGAAATAGAAACAGAATTCGCTTCTTAAAATAGGGGCTATGACAAGCTTAGCTTATAGGTTTCATAAGCTAAGTTACTAGGAAGTGTTGTTAAGATTGATTACTATTACTTAAGTAAGCGTGATCCATAACTATTAGGGGCATTTAAAGAAATGTCTGAATATAGGATACTTTCAGTAAAGCATTCATATTATTTTGTTAAATTTGTAGATCAGCAGATTACCCCTAAAGTTTATTTCCACATTTGGTTAATACTTACATTGCCACAGCAAATATAAAGTTTGTTCATAGACAATCCCGCCACATAATGTGATATGGGAAAATGCCTGGCTTTCCTTGAAATTCACATGTGCTCTGTGTCCCCAAGGAACTCGTGGCAATGTGACACAGTGGTTAACGTGTTGAGCTTATACACTACACTATCATGATTAGTCCAACTGGAGGTGCTGATGTCACCTAGGCGAGGTCAAGGTTGCCGTCCACTCTTTCCTGGATGAGAATAACTTTTTGGAAAGCAAGGCTATGTGAAATTCAATGCAAATATAAGGTCTACACATATCATTATAGGAAAATCAAGCTATCAGTCACTCATCACCTTAAACGAAATAGGTTGAACACATCTCATATATATGATTGACCGGTAGTCTCAAAAGCTTACTTACTTACGAAAAATGGTAATTACATGTAGGAAAAGAAGCAACGCTTCATCGAAGATCTAAGTTTGACACTGAAACTATTAGTTAGATAAATGAACAATTGTTTGGCAATTCAGGAGTCTAACGTTTATAGATAAGAATATCTCCTCTTCTTAACTATCCAATAGGCTGGTTAACAAGGAAACTAGAAAATGAGTATAGCTTACGATTTCTAAATGTTTTGGTTACCAGGGCATAAGGTAAATCGGGCGATAATGAATATATAAAACCAGAATATGCTGACTTTGTACTCAGCTAATTAACAAACCATAGTTACATAAATTATTAATGGTATTATAAAAACAATGAGTATTTCGATTATTCGATTAGTAGACAGAGTTCATAGATAAAATGAGCTAGATCAGCTTAGGCAAATATAACTTAAGAATAACTATCCGTAAGATATGATTAAAAATAACTTTAGCTCAATAGGATAGTATCAATTTGATAGAGGAGTTTGGAGAAGAAACTGAAGAACTAGAGACATTTTCTCATATCAAGAATTTGTCTTCGTGCTTTCTTTAGAGACAGGACAACTGATAGGACAGTGGATATTATATGTTCAGGGAAATTTTGATACTTTCTTAAGTTTAGTTTATTTTAGAGCAAAACCAGATTCATAACCCAGATCAAGGTG